CCCCGCCCGTCCTCAGGACGTAGCCCCATGAGCTGGTGAGTGCAGAGCAGGGCTCCCGGACCCCGCTAGCCTGCCCCAGTGACGGGCTTTCACGCCCGCAAGCACCCCAGCTCGCTGCTCCTGGGAACGGCTGGGGCCCCGGGCCAAGGGGGCAGCGCCCATACCTGTAGGATGACCCAGTGGCCTTGCACAGCAGCCACATCCAGAGCGTTTTCGGCCACGATTTCCTGCCCTTGCCCTAGAGACACGTTGTGGATTTTCCCGTTGTCTATGGTGAAGCCCAGCTTCTGGCCTGGGGAAAACCCACCAGCACGCACGTCACCGCTCTGATGCTGGACTGCCGGGCAGCGCCGGCTCTTTACCGCAGCCGGATGACCCAGTGGCCTTGCACAGCAGCCACATCCAGAGCGTTTTCGGCCACGATTTCCTGCCCTTGCCCTAGAGACACGTTGTGGATTTTCCCGTTGTCTATGGTGAAGCCCAGCTTCTGGCCTGGGGAAAACCCACCAGCACGCACGTCACCGCTCTGATGCTGGACTGCCGGGCAGCGCCGGCTCTTTACCGCAGCCGCGTCCAGCAGCGCCAGGCCCCGGGCCGGCTTACCCAGCGCCTCGACGTCCTTCAGGGGGTCCACCCCTGGCGAGAGGATGAAGAAGATTGCAGTGGACGGGCTGCACTCTTCGTAGGACTTGGAAAATTCAACACTTCTGCCTTCCACGTACTTGCTGCCCATTTTCTCTTCCACAAAGTTTCTGTGCAACAGACGTGGATGGAGCCTCAGTTTCCAGTCCCCGACCGTCCGAGGGCCGCGCAGGGCAGGCCGTGGGCTCCAGCAGCCCCTGGCAGGCCGGGTGAAGAGCACTGGGTAGGAAGGGCAGGGAGTGGAGCAGAAGCCAGAGTCGTGCCCACACACCCAGCCGGAGCTCTGGGCTCGAGAGCAGAGCTGGGAACAGAGGCACCGGGTCACACAGTCGGCCGGCGCTGCCCAGGCAAGTCCTGGGCCGGATCCACCCCTTCACCAGGACCCGTTAGCCCGCTCCCGCCCCTCCGCTGCTTCCTGCAGCAGGCCCGTGTCTGGCACGTGGCTCCTCTGGGCCAGCAGAGGCGCTGCTGTGGCCTAGGGCTGGGCGTGTGGGGAGGCAGGGGGAGCCAGGCCCGTCCCCCGCCCCGTTGGCAGCCCTGGAAGGCCCTTTGGAAGGCCCGCTGGCTAGCATACGCCCTGCCGGCTCAGAGCCTCTCCCCCAGGCCGCCGCCCCCCCCCCCC